GCCCCGCCCACTTAGATGATTTGACCACATTTCTTCCTTTACCTCTAGTCACTTTTCTCGCGTTCTAGATTATTTCCGGTGATCTGACTGCTATTAAACACAAAATCAAGATGTAGCAGTAAATATATCGAAGAAGTAAGAGGGAAGCAGCTGTAGAGATGAGCAGACTGAATATGGATGTAGGTCATCAAGGGACAGCTTGTATTATGAGCACAGAAATATAATGCAGATAATTATCAGAAGAAGGATGGAGTCATGAGGATTTAGAAGCATGGATTTTTTCTGCGCGCTCTGGCCGTTTTTCCAGGTAAACTAGTCACTCTTGAGTTCACGGACCTCTGAAGTTTGATTTATTTTCTCCGAAGTGCACCCTATTTTACTTCGAAAGTCCTGCAATGAAAATATTAGTGCCAAATTGCGATTCTCTTCTCGCTTCTTCAACTTACTTTAACTTTCTTTTGCCACTCGTTTGGCGGAACAAATGAGAACGGAAGATTGCTGTACCTTGGAGGCACTGGTGCACAAGTCACTCCCAAGCTTGTACCTGCAGTATGTGCATTTAGCCTATCGACTTCATCAGGGTGTTGATTTTTTGACACTTTAAAGCTAGTTCTGTAATTTTTGAAGATCCTCTTTTATCAAATTTTTTTGCTGTTAAATTATCCAGATCAGGATCCAGTCAACACTGGTTTTCAATTGAAGTGAGGCTCACGAACAGATTTCTTTATGGCCGCAAATGTCGAGTAGCGCGATAATTGTAGGAAAAATAAAGTGGCAAACCTGTCCATAAGCAACTGACATTCCACCGCAAAGCGTCTTTTTCGAGCAAGAAACCCGTGTACATTTCATCGTTACAAAGGCTGTCCTTCTGTTCGAATGTCGTGAAAAACGTAGAGTTTCTGAGTAGCTCAGTTTATTGATCAAAGTGGTCTATGCAATCAGACTTACATTGAAATGAAACCTTCTCCTCTTGTAAGTTTTTGGAAATCTACCAATTGTAAAGCAGCTTGACGTCTAGCAATCCAAGCGCGACTGAAAGGGGTTATTGGATGTTAAGATAGGTCAGTATCACTTGATCGGGGTGCCATCTCAACTTTCGTAATATAACGTTCTAAGACGAATTCAAGAAAGTATCCTGCTCGGCATGGGCCAGTCATTTCCAGCTTTCTTTTTGTTGATGATGTCTAATCCGTCACGTTTCATCGTCACGAAAGAGCAAGCGATCGAACGGGACTTCAGTTTCGTGGAAGAGAGTCACCCTAGAGGCCTAACGATAGTTAACAACAGGGGTGCGCCGATTATCAAGGCGCTAGATGATTTTGATCGATATGCGACATACAACTTTTTCGCAGAACTTTCTTTTTGGCGGAGAAATATTGCGTCTATTCCGGAATTAGCGTTTGGTTGGGCTATTCTAAT